TGACCTGAACCAAAACCAAGAGCCCACTGCTTAACCCACTGAGCCAGGCGCCCCTAAGTCACTCTAATTCTTAAACTCTGGTGACTTCCTTGTTCTTAGGATCTATTCCAAATCTTTAATGTGACTTACAGACGAGTCCTTCTAAAATCTGGCCTTTGCCCATTTCTCCTGTCTCCTCTTCTGGGGTACCTTCCACATCCCACATTCCTGCCAGCATACATCACCCTGATCTCACACACCAACCCCCCTTCGCCATCCTCCTCCCCCCAACAAGTCTCAGCACACATCACATCTCCGGAGGGGGGAGCTTCCTTCACCCAAGACCAGTCCGGGTCCCTTTTTCAATCTTATTCCCCCAGCACCCTGCTCTGCCCCACCTCAGTTACCTGTTGCATGCCTGCCTTCACTGCAGGAATGTGAGGGTCTGGGGCTGGGGTCATGTGGATCTTGTTGACCTTGTTTCCAGCTGCAGCTCTGGGCCAAACACAGAGCCTGGCATTTTAAGGCAGCAGCTGAGAGTCCTCATTGAGAACTTGGTGTGAGAGGCAGGCGAATGCAGGTTCAAATTCACTAATCAACTATGGGACTTGGTACAAGGGGCTTAACTTCTCACTGTTGCTCCACAGATATTTAATGAATGACTGAAATAATGAATTAGTGACCCAAAATGGCACCTGACATTTTATTTATTTATTTAAAGATTTTACTTATTTATTCGAGAGACAGAGAGACAGAGAGCATGAGAGGGGGGAGGGGTGGAGGGAGAAGGAGAAGCAGGCAGGGCTCCCACCCAGGACCCAGGGATCATGACCTGAGCCGAAGGCAGACACTTAGCCGACTGAGCCACCCAGGCACCCCAGACATGGTTAATTTTAAAACCACATGAAAGAACCTTCTATCTTACTTAAGTAAATAAAAATGAAAGGAAAAACCTAAATTTTAAGGGTACATCACAAATTCTGGTAGTTTATTTGAGTTGACTGCCTCCTTGGTAGGTGGCCTGTGCATCACAAATATAGGATTCGAGTCCGATGCCCAGCGAAGGCAGAGAAAATAAGCAACTAACAATTCATAACCTGGAAGAATAAGACATTAAATTGCCATTTACTGTAGCAAAGTATTGTTTAATAATTCAACAGTCATTTCTTATAATCCATACAACTAAAATCAACAGTTTCTAAATCCTTAACACGACTTACAGACAAGCCCTTCTAAAATCTGGCCCCTGCCCATTTAATTTAATTCAAATATTTAGTTGGAAAATGGAATATAATTCAAGTATTTTGCAAGGATAATTACTGTTTATTTTGATAACATGAAGCTTGAGGTCAATGTCAGCCATGCTATTAACAAAAAAGTACAGTGCACTAGAATACAGAAGACTATGAGGGCTTATTGACCTTTCCAAAGGACGTAAGGCGGTAAAAAAACCCCACATCACAGACCATACCTATTTTTGCAAAATGATGCATCCATAAGGCAGAGGTCTTCAAACAAGGCACTCAAAAACCTTCCAAGGGGTGCAGACACAGGCAGCTTTAAGGAAATGAATGATCAGATCCTCAATTTCTGTACGTATTTTTCCTAAAACTGGTCGGCCTGAGATGCTGCCTCCCCTTCCTCAGTTTCCTGTCTCCCACTACATGGAAAAAAAAGCAGAATCTCATCCATCCTAAAACCTCCACATCCTCTAACAAACAGACAATTCAAATATCAGTATCTGTGGGTCTCCCTGAATGAGGCACCACGATGGGCTTCCTATTTATATAAGAGTCTAATAAGGGTGAAGGATGGCATTAGAAATGGGGCTGTTTGGGGCCACGCTGGGCTGTTCCAAATTCAATTATATGTTTAAAAATATACTAATAAAGAAATATATGTAGTAGAATGAAATGGGAGTGATGTGGCTTTTATATGACTGCCTTTTTTACCCCCTGATTATTTCCAAAGACTATTACTTTTAAGCTAGAGTTCTGTGACAGCAAAGCAAATAAACACTGATTCAGGTACGTAAACACAGCACTGGGCTTTCTTTGTGCCATTTCCTTTCTCCTTCCTTCCCTCTCTCCCCACCCTACCTCCATCCATCCATCCATCCATCTATCCATCCATCCATCCATCCACCATCCTCCAAGAATTAGAAACAAGACGGTTGTCATACGGATGCCTAATAACACATTTGCTGAACTGAAAATGGTATCAGACCTTCACTGGTTGAAAGCAAATCTGGTGAGGCTGATTGGTTTAACAAGAAGGACTGGCTTTGTCAACTGGAATACAGAACAGACATTTTACATAAGTGAAGAGCTACATTTGCAGCTCTAAGGTGTTAACAATGAAATATTTTAAAAAGCAGATAGTTTAAAATAAGCATTTTACCAAAAAAGGGGAAAAAAAGAATACTGACAAATGTTTAACATTGCTATTTTAATTATCTTATCTCTGTCGGGAATATTTTGGGTTACATAAGTTGCCTCTAGGTAAAGAGGAACAGGTTTAATGTACGGTTTTGGGAGAAGTTTTGATAAAGCCTTTTGAGTGTACTTCCCAGGAAGGAAAAAAAATAAATGTTTCTAAGGGCTGAATAACAATTCCTTTTGTAAGTCAGGTAATTTCTAATCATTCTCAATACAATTGCAGAAGGACCTAATTGATTTGTCAGTTTTTGGCACAGAACTTAGAAGGAATTCAAAGAATTAAGTGGCATTATTATAACAAAACTGCTGCCATCCCATGTAGTTATTCATGGTTTCTGAGCACTTCTACCTCTAAAAATGACAAATAGGCAAAAGAGGTGATACTGAACTTTCTTATTCTAGCAGTGACTATTATTTGTCCATTTATTTGTAAACTAGCTTTTTAAAAGCCTGCTTTCCCATTATAAGTTGGAATTTAAATGCAATTTTCGTTTCATAATTATTTTGGTAAACAACAATTTAATAGCACTGACGATTTATCAACATTTGTTTGGACCTACTGTGAATTAATAATAGCCGGGACATAAACTTAGTCTAGGAGAAATTATTAGTAACTCAATGTAGGAGAAATTTCTTTTAATACTCATGATACCTGGAAAAAGGCCTTAAAATTTATGCAAACGTATACACGCACACCTATATGTTACAGAGATGCACAATGAGGTGATCAATAAAAGATTTCAAGTAACTAAACCCATTATAGCAGAATAAAATACTGTGGGGGGAAATAAATGGAAAAACAAGACTTCGAGGAAAAAGAAACAACAAAAATTCTAGCTATTAAAGACAGCTTGCTCGTGTCCATTTTTAATGGAGAAATGTGGTTATAAAACTCCTGTGGCCGCCGGCGGGGCGCCTGGGTTGCTCAGACGGTTAGGCATCTGCCTTCAGCTCAGGTCATGATCTCAGGGTCCCGGGATCCAGTCCTGCATTGGGCTCCCTGCTCCACGGGGAGCCTGCTTCTCCCTTTCCTTCTGTCCAGACCCCCCACTCACATTCTCTCTCTCTCAAATAAATAAAATCTTAAAAAACAAACAAACAAACTCCTGTGGCTTTAGATTCCACTGCATACATATAAACAAGTGATTTTTAAATGTCAATAGTTAACAACACACCATTGGTTTTCATAATTTCTGGGAAGTACACCAAAATGTTTTTATAAAGACTTGTGAAATGGCCATTACACAGTTCCCCTTTTCTCTGCCACAACAGGTAACCCGCTTTACCCAAAGACTCAAAGCGTTGGGAAAACTGAAATATTCTCACATCCTTTGCAACTATTTGACAAGAATTTCTGTGTCACCTTAAAATGTATGAGTGCACGCGTAGTTTTACAAGATCACTTCGCAGCTAAGTGAGCGAAACATTTTATGGCCACTGTTCTAAGGGGCTTGCACTGGGGAGGGGTTTAGCTTGGATCGATTGATCTGATGGCTTTCAGAAGTTCTCAGGGGTTGGAGCTGTATGTTCTGATCATTTCCTCGGGTATTCTTGACCCTAAATGGCCACCAAGGCCAATGGAATTCGGGTCCAGGATGTTGGGGGTCTCCCCACTTTTTCGTCTTGTGTGGGATGGTATGATCCCAGGGTCTCTCTGGGATGTTGCAGGGAGCCAGGCTATCCCCCCATCACCCACTCTTCCCCTCCTGAGCACTGCTTGGGAGCACTCCCTAACCTCAACTTTTATCTCTGTCACTGTCCCTCCCAGGTGGGGCTTGGCTTAGGAGATACCGAACAGTCGGATGTTTCTGACCCACAAAGCACTCCAGCTTCTTGCCAGGAAGCCCTACTGCCTGCCATTCCATGACCAAGGTTGAAGGGAGATAAGGGGCTCCTCCACGTCCTTGCAGCCCCACTTTTAAATGGAAAGCACAGGAGAACTGTTGAGTGGTGCTGGTACTGTGTACGTTCTAATCTCAGTTCCACCATTTACAAACTGTCATCAGAGAGGCAAGCTAGTAAACCACTTTGTGCCTCAGTTTCCTTACCTATTAAGTGACGATAACAACAGAACTATCTCCTGAGATTATGAGAGCTACATGCAACACTGAGCTGGCATACAAGAATGTAATAAATGAAGCTATTATTATTATTAAATGCAAAATTTAGAATTTTAGAAGTGAACTCAAGAAAAGACAAGGTGAGAATCACTAGACAGGATGCTTCCCTCAATGGACTGCTACCCTAAAACCTCCTGTCCCGTGTCCCTGGATTCTGCCTTTCAGCCAAACCTGGTCCCAACTGGCAGCAGCAGCCTATATACTCTGCCTCAAAGGAGGCCGGCTGCAAACCAAGCCACGGAGCAGGAGACCGACCCCTCCAACACCCCCCCCTCCCCCGGCTTGGGGCTTGCCCCCAGAGACAGGGAGTGCACACGGGAATCCTAGTGTTGTCACAGACAGCTGCCAGGATTCTGTGCAAATCTTCCACGCACAGCACAGACCTCCTGCCCAGAACGTCCCTCTCCTGCGATGGCAGGGGCACGGTGGACTGAAGAGGCCCAGGGCAAGGAAGGAAACTTACCTGAAGAGTGATGGGACAAAGAAGGACCGGTCTGGCTTAGCATCGACTGCATCTGGGCTGCCTGCGTCCCCAGCTGCTTGCTCCGCACCACAGCCTTGATCGCTTGCCATCTGGAAGGAGAAAAACCAACCAGACCTTTGGTATTTAGTGGCATCACTAGCCTCAGGATATTTTTAAGCAGCACTCACTAGTGATACAGTTTTTAATTAAGCCTGCAGGGGAGCAGTCTTGCATGTTTAGGCTCCAGGGTTATTGCACCAACAAGTCATTCAAATGCTTGAGCACCAACTTTATTTCCGGCAGAGTTCTAGAGATGGACGAGAGACAGCAGCAAAGGAAACAAAATCCATGCCCTCAGGGAGCTTCGCATTCTGCATCCATGGTTTTGTTAAAGGTTCCCTGTGTCTGAGAAGCTGTGGGAGGTTGGTCAAGGTTTATACTGACAAGAAACTCTCCCTGCATTCCTGACAGGTTATAAAGTGCTCATCCTTTTCCTGGCATCACTCAAACCTAGTTCAAACACAACAGCAACCTGGGGTATAAAGCTGTCTGTATCAGATTCTTTTATTTACCAAGATAGATTTCCATCAAATTATTTTCCTACTCAAGAATCTTCAAGAGATCCCTATGATCTAAAAAAAAGTTCAAATGTAAACCCATCTCCTTGGATTTTAAGACCCTTTGTTATCTAGTAACGGAGTCTGCAAACTATGGCCCACCACCTGTTTTTGCAAATAAAGTTTTATTGGAACGCAGAGTTACCCATCTGTTTACATATTGTCTATGGCTGCTTTCCTGCCACAACCAGAGTTGAGCAATTGTGACACAGACCATGTGGCCTGAAAAGCCTAGAATATTTACTACCTGGCCCTTTCAAAAAATGTAGGATCTCCTACTAATCTACTACTCCCTCTACTTTAAAGAAGAAAAAATAACAGTAAGAATAGAAACTGACTGGGGAACCTGGTGGCTCAGTCGGTTGAGCGTCTGCCTTCGGCTCTGGTCATGATGATCTGGGGGTCCTGGGATAGAGCTCCGCATCGGGCTCCCTAGTAACTTGGTGGCAAGTCTGCTTTTCCCTCTGCCCCTCCCCCCTGCTTGTTCTCTATCAAATAAATAAATAAATAAAATCTTAAAAAAGGAATAGAAACTGATTATTTACATGCTAATTGTTTTGTAAGCATTACCTTATTTAATGCTCTCAATAATGCTGTTAGACCACCCCTATGATCACTGCTTTTTGAGATGAGGTAAGTGAGGCTAGAAAAAGTTATATAGCTTGTTCCAGGCTACATAACTAGTAAGTAGTAGGACCTGGATCTGAAGCCAGCAGTATGCACCCCAGAGCACCTCCCGCCCTTTACCATCACACCATGTAGCCTCTCAGTGTCCTTAAGCAGATTATGATCATTTCAGGTTCTGTCAGGGTTCATAGTTCTCTCTTTCTGGAAGTCACTACCCACACATTTGCTGGACATGACATCTCTGCCCAGCTTGCTGAGAATCAGTCTTCACAATTCAGCTTAAATGGCACATCCACAGAGAAGTCCACTTTGATTACACCTATCTCATCAGCTCCCCCCACCCCCATTCTCTTTGCCTTTTATTTTCATTCTGCTTATTGTTTAGCTCAAACACAACAGTTCCAAGTTCATCATGGCAGAAGCACCCAACACACAAAAGGTGCTTACTGAGTAAATATTAATTGAATGGAAAGCTGGAAGAAACCAATGGCCCAAGGGAAAAGAATCAGCTAAAAGTGATGCAGCTGGTTGGAAGCAGAGCCTGTACTAAAGCTGTTTTTCCTAAATCAAGTCCTGTTTCCTTCCCAGTGAAGGGCTTGGCTTTCAGTAACAACGGAAAACCCCTCCAGAGTCCAATTTCTGCTGCTCCCAGTCTCCGATCGATCGCAGAGTGGGCCACAGTGGACAGGCGCAGGTCCTCATTCCTGTTAGGTTCACCCAGGGATGTTTTCACTCAGTCGGAAAACAACAAGGCATACAGAACACTTTGTGCCCCAGAGCACAAGTAAGGACTTTTGGAGGTGGGGAGGAGAAGGAATCCAGCTTGAGGGGAGGCGTCCAAGATGGCTAAGTGCTGACCTGGAGGCCTTGAATTCTGAGTGGCATAATCACGTCACCCTGCAGCTTCCCTTAGGAGTAACTGGACAGTGAGGAGAGAACTGAGAGGGAGGGAGGGAGGGTTCCCCCACCAGCTCTCTACAATGACTGTGAGAAGCCAGGTGGTCATCTTGTTTCTCAACACCCAACAAGGGTGGTGTCCAGTTGGTGGCAGTTAGATTTTTCAGATTAGAGTGCAAAATATTTCCTGAAAACAGAGATAACCCCATCCCCAGATCAGAGAAGCATAAACCCAGGCACGCAGAAATACTCAGTAGTTTTTATTTCATCTCCTTTATATAGATTTAGTTACTTTTCCATGGGGATTGTTGTTAGCAAAGCACAGAAATATTTTCAAAATTAGCAAGGTAAAGTCAGACAAAATCCATCAGAAGAGGACGCTCCCTTTGACATGTGGTATTTAAGCCTCGGGCCTTTTGGGCCTTTTGCTAATGCTAAGTCTTCAAGGCTGAGTCTAGGACATACAATGATAAAACAAGGTGACCAATTTTTTTTAAAAAAGGACAACCCTAAGGAAAACAGCTCCTAAGAAAGCCAGACATTGTTTCTGATGCTGGAGGGCAGTGCTGAGAAGAGTTATAGCGATTCCTCTTCTTCCATTCAGTGAATATTTACTGGGGGTCTGACACATCAGGCTGGGTGCTAGAAGCTGGGGACACAGCTGGGAGCACGCTGACCTGGTGCTGCCTTGATGGGGGACAGGCTTTGAGAAAATGATGGCACAAATGTTGAGCTGCCACTGTGGTGAGCACCACGAGGACCCACAATCTGTGGCCACGCCAGGGGACCCGACTGAGCCTCGGAGGAATTAGGGAAGGTTCTCAGGGGAGGAGATATCAGCCCTGAGGTCTGAGAAGGGGAAGCCAAGAGGGTGGGGATGGGGTTCTGCAGGCAGAGGGGAGCTGCATACATGCTCCATCACAGCAGGGGTGCAGCTGAAACTCCTTGTCCTTCCCAGCCACATGGAGGGGACTTTGGACTTGGAGACATAAAATTCAGGCTTATTTCTATGGTTTAGTGGTGGGAGGCTTTCCAGAGCTTTCCTTCCAAACACTAGGCCACAAGGGTCTTCTGTGTCCCCACTTCCTAGACAGTGGGAACAGCAAAACATTCAGTGACTTTCTGACTCCTAGGAGGCTGGGCTTGATTTCTGGGTAAAATCAAGTTCACCCAGAACAAGGGTGCTGACCCAGCGGGGTGCCTAATCTTGGCCACATCATTTCAGTCAAGCCAAGACTTGGTGTTGACCCCATATTTCCACTCATCCTCAGATCCCACCAAGAAAATCCAGGCCGATCTCACCTCTGCTGTGCCTGGCAAGGGCAGGCCTACTGTTGTTCTCTGGTGTTTGTCCCCTTTGTAGGGCTCAGGTTGCCAAGAGCCGTCAGTCACACAAGGGCTACTGCTCATCCAATGGCACATCTGTCTTCCGTTAAACATGTCTATCTTCTCTTTAAGTGAATCAGTATGTGATGCACAGAAAGCATGAGCACTGCCAGGAGCTCTAGGTAAGCGTTCTACGTTAGCTATTGTCATTCTTATTGTCACTAGTGTCCACGAGGACCCTATCTGCAGGCTGAGAGTGTATCTTAATCATCCTTTTTTTGTTCCAGTCATAGAAAAGTGCCCAGTACACAGTGGGCACTCAATATACATATATATATATATATATATATATATATTTTTTTTTTTTTTTTTTAAGAGAGGGAAGGGGGAACTGGCAGAGGGAGGAGAGTCTTAAGCAGACTCCACGCCCAGCACTGAGGCTCAAGCAGGGGTTCCATCCTGAGATCACGATCCGAGCCGAAATCAAGAGTCGGATGCTTAACAGACTGAGCCACTCAAGCGCCCCAATAAATATTTCTTTATAAACATTTTAACTAAAACGTACTTAAAATGTTTAAATCATTCAGTGCCCTGAATAAATTGTTGATAAAGGTGAGACAACACAACCAAGTTGAGAGCCCAGTCATGGGAAGAGCAGATCAGGGGTTAAACTGGCTCCTCCATCTATTAGCCATGGGGCCTTGAACAAAGTGCTCAATCTCTTTGAGCCTCACCTTCCTCATCTGTGAAATGGGAAGAGAACGATGCCTAAGTCACAGGCTGGCTGAGGATGAATGGAAAAATGTGCATAAAGTGCTAAGCACAGGGGCGCCTGGGTGGCTCAGTTGGTTAAGTGACTGCTTTCGGCTCAGGTCATGATCCTGGAGTCCCTGGATCGAGTCCCTGAATCGAGTCCCGCCTCGGGCTCCCTGCTCGGCAGGGAGTCTGCTTCTCCCTCTGACCCTCCCCCCTCTCATGTGCTCTGTCTCATTCTCTCTGTCTCAAATAAATAAATAAAATCTTTAAAAAAAAAGTGCTAAGCACAGTGTAGCACATTCTAGATGTTCAATAAATATTCCTCATTATCACCACTGTTGGCAGATGTCAAGACTAAAAACATTCAGCTGTCAACCTTCACCCATATTTTAAAATCACATCCATATCTTAAGCAGCTTTTGTGGAGAATGAAAAAAAAATTCCTCTAGTGATTATTTCTAAACACATTTTAACAGGCGACTGGTACACACTTCTGGTAGGAAATCACTTCCCAGCTATATCCTGAACTGTTTTTTTTATTCCCCCATGGTGGAGAGGATGGACTCATTGTAGCTGCTTCCTCTGAAAAGTGACATAACACAGCCTGTACCCCACTCTTGCCCCAGTGAAGACAATCTCCCTAAAGGCTCAAAGAGAAGCAGCCCTCCAGCAGCCCTGGATAGAGGACCTCCACCTTTCACCTTTGGCACTTGGAGAAAGGGCTCTCCTGGCACTCGAGTCCCCCCCCCCCCCCCCCCCCCCCCCCCCCCGTCCCCAGGGGCTCACAGCACTGCTAGGAGGCTGGAGCCTTCACACCATATTGCAGAAGAAACTTCGGTTTCTTCAGAGAGTTTAAGTATTCTGCCCAGGGCCACACAACTAACAGGAAGCAGAGGTGAATTATGAACCCAGGTGAGGGCTGCCTATGGAGGCTGAAGGCCAGGCGCCCCTGAAGGAGGAAACAGCCTGTAAGTAAGCAAAGTACAGGCCCACGTAGTCCACCAGAGCAGAGGCCTGGGAATGACTCACACAGAATAACCCACAAGTGATTTTACTGCCCCATAAATGACGAACTTGAATTACAACGGTGAAAGGTTGCAAGGTCGCCTGTGGTCCTGCCTTTTTTCACTTCCTCCAGGAATCTTCAGGAGCCCCAGCCAGGATGACAGTTGCCTCCGGCACACGGAGCCCAAACGGAGGCACTGCTATATGCACCAGTCACCACCTCCTTCCATTCTCGCAGCGACCCTCGGCCCGCCGTCGCCTCCGTTCCCATTTAACAGACAGGCACAGGGAGGACCGAGGCCCACAGCCGACAGACGGGCGCGAAGATCCGCGCCCAGGGCTGTCTGACACCCGAGCGCTCGCTGTCAGCCCGGCGAGATCACGATCCCCTCCCTCCGGCCTCAATCCGCGCCCCCTCTTGCAAATCCGCGGCCAGCAGGGAAGGAGAATGAGCTGAGCCAAGCAAGCGGTGCCGGGCCCTGTCCGCAAAGTTTCAGAGCAGGCCAGCCCGGGCGGGGAAGAGGGAGAGAGGCGGAGGAGAGCCGGCCGGGGGTGGGAGGGGCGCCGGGCTGAGCGAGACGGAGGCCGGGCGGGGGGGGCGGGAGGCCGCGGGCGGAGGGAGGGAAGGAGCGCGCGCGGCCGGGCCCGGGCGGGCGCTAGCGGAGGCAGGGGCCGAAGTTACCGTGTCCTCGGCGACCGGGCGGCCAGGCGGCCAGAGCTGGCGTCAGTCTCGGTCCCTCCGCGGCGAGGGTCTGGGGCCGCCCCAGCGAAAGCGAAACTGGAAGGCCCGGCGCGGCAGGAGGCGGAGTCGCGCGGGGCAGTCTCCCGGAGCCGGCCGGGGCTGCGGGCGCCGCCTCCCGCTCGCGCTGGTGCGCTCCCCGGAGTGGCACGCGAGCCCAACGACCCGCTCCAACGCGCGCGCCGTCCCGGGAGGGCGCCCCCTGCAGAACTGGTCGCCGGGTCTGCACCGTGGTCCGCGAGCGTCGCCCGGGGGAAGGCGCCCTGGCAAAGTTGGCCGCGCACCCGGGGAGCGCGCCGGGGACAGTTTGCCGACAGCTCTGCGACCCCGACGCCGCGCTCACCGGCCCCGGGAGAGCACCTTCTGCATCCCCAGCAGCGCTCGACGTGACCCGGGAGCGCGCTCTGCAAACCGGCCGCGCGCACGCGGAAGAGCGCGCTCCGCGGACTTCTGGGCGCTCGACGACCCGGCGCTAGCCAGGGGCGCCCCTCCTTCTCTCCCGGCGCTGCTGGCCCCCGTATGCACCTCCGCTCGGGCTTCCGCACCAGTGCCGGGGACCCAGTGCCACGGCCGGAGGGCTTTTCCCCAGTCAGGCCCCAGACCCCAATCTGTGCTGTTGGCGCCCCAACCCTGGGGAGGGAGGTGCTCGGCGCCCGCAGCAGCTGGAGTTACCTTCTCCGCGGCCGGGCTTCTGGGGCCAGCCGTGGGGTCGCCGGTGGGCTTCCGGTGTCCACTCTTGGGGGCGCCTCGATTTGCGCGTGGACGGTAGGACCCCGAACTCCTCTCTCTCTTAGGCGAGTTCCCGCCTCGCAAGTCGGCGAAGTTGTCTGGAGGAAGCGCCAGAATCGGTCCCGCTATATTTATTGAGAGCCCCCAAGTGTCAGCCACTGGGCATGTGGCCGTGACTTAGTCTAAGGAGCGAGGGACCCTGCACTTCCCGCGGCCCACCTCGCTCCTACCCCTCCACCCCCGCAATCGTGTACGCACGGCCACACGCACACGTGCGCACCACTCACATTTTTGCCTTTCTTCACCCCTGGGCCTCCAGCCCGCGCCTCCAAAGCCTTTCTCTCCAAGGCTCCTCAGGACAGCAACTAATTAACTCGGTCTCGCAGCGGTGTGACTATCTGAGAAGAAATTACACTTTTATCCATGCCAGAAATAATTGCTTTTAAAGAACTTTCAACACCTTGAATGCAAAGGAAACCTTCATGGCGTGAGATGGGGCAAGAACCGCATCTTGTCTTTGTGTTTGCTTGCTTTAGCCTGGGCCTCAGACTTCAGTATTGTCTCTAGAATCTCGCCAGGTAAGGACACTTTTGGTTTAAGGAAGACTGGCCCCAGGTAAGGGTCAGGGCATAATTATAATTTATTAGCTTCAGCAAAAATCTTGAATTCCTGAATATTTTAAACAGTTACACTATTTCCAATGTGGCCATGCAGTAGGTTAAAAGTTTGTGTCCACTGCCCCCCCCCCTTAATATGTTGAAACTTAATGCTCAATGTGATGGCATTAGGAGTTGAGGCTTTTAGGAAATGCTTAAATCATGAGGGCAGGGCCCTGGTGAGTGGGATTAGTGCCCTTATTTTTTAAAAAAGTCTGGACAGAGCTTTCTAGTTCCTTCCACGCTATGAGGACATAGGCAGAAGTTGCTGTTTTCATCCCAAAGGAGGACTCTTACCAGAATCTCCTTATGCGGGCACCCTAATCTTGGACTTCTAGCCTCTAGAATGGTGAGAAATAAGTTCCTGGTGTTTATAAGCTACATGGTCCCTAGTATTTTGTTAGAGCAGCCCACACAGGCTAAGACCGGCTGCGTTGCTCTTTATCTAGCATTCGTGTTTCTGAAATGTCAGTGGTAAATAAGTGCAGTAGACACTAAGATAATTTGCTTTTTAAAGGAATTCCATTGTGAATCATTTAAGAAATGAAAACTCCCTATCAGTAAAGAAAATTAGGTACTGATTTATAAATTTAAGTTTTTGCAGATTACTCGTGAAATACAGTGAAACACAATGTTAGATTTTGGAAGGGGCCTTAACAGCTAATCCCTCTGCTCATTTTATAGATAAAGAATCTGAGGCTCAAAGAAGTGGCCCATATCATAACTTGCTAGTGACAGAACCAGGATCAGGTTGCCTTAAAAAAAAGGAATTTTCCTTCCTGTCCTTTCCTGGAGAATCAGGCTCTTAGGCTTCTGCAGTGCCCAGCTACTGCTATGCACGGTAACCAGCAAAACCCAGCAACACTGGCACTCCTTCAGATGGTTTTATAGCAGAATTCTTCCACTGAGGTACTCCTATGAATAGCTCTCTCTAGCACCCAGAGGGTGGACTTCCAGAAAGTTCTAGAGGACAGATTTCTAGCAAGTTCCACCAGCATGGCACCACAGTGACTTCTCTGCCATCTAGTGAGCCACAGACATACTCTCTCCAACAAGGTTTGGATCTCAGCCCTGGGGTGGGGAGAGGTGGGGGCTCTGTATCTCAGCTCTAGGTAGGGGTAGCGGCATGTTATGTTATATTATGTTATGTGTTGTTAGAGGCCGCCCACTGTGGTAATTAGCTCAGAATAATACATTTGACTTCACTGGCTCACTCAAACCCTCACTCCTGCCTTGTGGAAGCACTCCCCAAATAAACTATGTGCATCCAAATCCTCACCTCAAGCTCTGCTTTTGGGAGAACATAAACTAAGGTAGACACACACCTTCAGCATGGGAGGAACAGCTCCAGTCTAAGCAAAGTGACAGTTACAGAGCAAAGGGTAGGGAGTTTTCTCCTCCGTCTGAATTTGTCATCTCTGCAATTTCAAAGCCATTTCACATCCGCGGCCCTGGAGGGCACTGGAAATGACTCAGAGCTAGGAAGAATTACCTCATATTCTGGATGACAGAACCAAGGTACCAAAGGATCTTGACCGGCTGAAGCAACGGGGCCACCATCAACAGGAGGAAATGGAAGAGATAAGTCAGTGCTATCTTTAAGTTCAAAAAGAAAATCAATTACCCCACACACTGAACATGATAGCCATTAATGTGAAACAAAATGTGGGGTTTTTCACTGATCACAATCTCTCTCTGAGTCAAGACTTAAAAAAAAAGCCGAAGAAACGTGGGGCAGTGTTGGCAGAAGCATCCAAATCAAGGACCAAGACTCTCCACCGTCTGGCTCTGGCTCGTGACAACCAAGCCCAAGTCCTGGACGCTCTGCTGATTGGACAGCCTATCAGACACGTCTCAGGAGCCACTTTCGGTCCATGCAGCCTCGCCTGTCTCAGGACCTCTGCCTGCTTGGGCCGGCCCAGGCTCAGCAGGGGCAGCAGGCTCTGTGTGGGCTTGCCATCTTCATGGGGGGCATGACCAACAGTGCCTTTGGCCTTCTGTTGCCCTTGCCTTTCCCCCTGTTGCTGTTGAGGCATAAGATGTTGTGGGACGCCATGGGCATACCCACAGCATAGATGTGTAGGGGAGTTAACACCCAATGGGGCCAGCCTTTCACCAAAGGGAGACAGGACCACAGATCCATTCTTCCCCCTTCCTTCCTGTAGCAGATGTTCCCGAGTAGCAGCTGTTTATACAGCCTCTTGGAAGATGGAGATCAAGCAGTCCAATGCACCCGCCAAATAAAATTAAGTTTTTGCAGGTTACTCATGAAATGAACCTTCATATCGACTGTCACCCCTCCATTTCCTGCCTCCTCACTTCTGCTCTCTGGGTGTACAATGCTCAATAAAGTCCTTGAACATAAGCCTTTGCCTCATGTTCTGTTTTCTGGGGAACCCAGGCTAAGACACATGGTGTGAACCAATCCCGAAGGCCATAGGAGTGTTATGTGCTCCGCGGCTAAGGCTTGGATGGCCTGAGGTAGTCACCGTGGCAAGGGGGAGGGCTCTACCGGATGTGAGCGGGGTGGGATGGACAAAGGAGAGACAGCCCACGGT